AACAACAACAACAACACTACAATTCAAAACGGAGAAAAAAAAGATCAACAAGTGCTGCTGTACTTGCTGAAACAAGAATAACGGGAGAGAAGGTAGGTAGGTACTACATAACATGGAATTGAACCAAAAAAAGACACAAACAAACATCCAAGGTAATGTATCAAATCCTAACCAGACGCTCACCAGGCACAGCACTCACCTCTCTTTCCGCAGACCGACGACATATCACGACGAAGAGACAAAGAGAAGACAGCCTACCATAAACGACACCACGTACCCTCATCTGACTAACTGACTGGATGGATGGATGGATGGATGGCTACCTAAGCTACCCAAGATACCGAGGCTGGCAAGGCTACATTACATTACATTACATAGGTACATAGGTATAGGTATGTACTTGGGGGAGGTTTTTGATCTAGGCATGCATGAATTATAATCCATTATAGAGAGATTTTGTGAAGAGTTTGGATTCCAACGCTGATGCTTACCTAGCCGATAGCTGATAGCTGAGTATATAGAGAGAGGACTGACTGAGTGAGTGATTGCTGGTGGAAACGTTTACTACATAAGTATTTGGACTTACGTATATTTGGACGGTCAGGTCTTTCATTAGTTTGGGTTTGGCAGGCAGGGTACTTGGGTGCTTGGGTACTTGGGTGCTTGGACTAGGTAGGTAGGTAGGTAGGTAAGCTATCGGCGCTTAAGTTTCTTAAGATAGTACGCCGTCGTGGTGTACCTAACAGTAGGTAAGAGACTCAAGGGAAGGGGGAGAGACAGGAATTAGCGGAACACCACACACATACATACATACAACCAGGGGTCCGCGCTCGTAGAAAGAAGGGTGGGGCAGACGACAAACGGCTCCAGAAGTAGAAGTTTAGGATAGGATAGGACAGACATCAAGAAGTAGTAAGTACCATTTGCAAACGTGATAATAACGGCATCAAAAAAAGGCAAAACATAAACGTGGTATATCACCTCCAACATCTCCGCCCCTCTCTCTCCCTCTCCCCATCCTCCCCCCTCCCCTCCCCTCCCTAGTTCTTAGCATCCAACCCAAGTTGCTCCCTAACCATCCTCCTCCTCTCCATCTCCCTCCTCTTAAACTCCTCGTCACTAACCTTCTCCCCCTCCCACCCCTGCCGAAACTCACTATCCCACTCCACCCTGCGTTCCCGACTCTCCCACACATCCTCGCTGCTCGGCTGCCCGCCGCCGTACTTGGCCTCCTCCTTTTTTCTGTAATACTCCTTGACGGCCTCGGCCTTCATTTCGGGGCTGAAGCTCTTGGTACGCATGCAAAACCAGAAATCGTCCCACAGCTCCGAGCAGTTCTTCATGGTGCCGTAGCGGTACACGGCGTTGAACTGCGACCCGGGCGTTTGGCAGTGCCAGGCGTAGTCGAAGGCGTCCCGGCAGGATAACGTTGTCGGGAGACAGTGCTCGGACATGGCGATGGAGGTTGGGGAGCGCGTCTTTTTGGGGAGTTCGGGCTCGGGCTCGGGCTCGTCGTCTTTGATGAGGAGGGAGGAGAAGGGGATGTAGGCTTTGTATTTTGCTAGGACGGAGGGAGCCGCTGGTGGTTCGGACGAGGTTGACGATGGTGTTGGTTGTTGTTGGGAAGGCTGGGAGGACTTGTTGGAGTCGTCGCCTTGGAGCATTTCAAGGAATTTCTGGAGCTCGGCGTCGGCGGATGAGGCGGCGGAGGAGGAGGGAGACGGTGTTGATGGTGTTAGTTGTTGTCGCACTGGGGGAGCAGCTTCTGGTTGTGTGGCGGCAGGGAGACTTGAGGTCTCGGTAGGCTTGCCTGAAGAGGCTGCCGGAGAGGAGGGGGAGGACCAGAACCAGCCCATTGTGTCTTTCTGTTTCGAAGGTAAAGCCTGTAGAGTTCGATTGGGGACCGGTTCGAATATGGATTCGAGGTCGAGATTATCGTCGATTTGGAAATACGCAGAAGGGTTTAAACACTCAATTGACAGGGAGCAGTCGTCGGTTTTCGAATTGAACAGATTGAGGGGTAACAAAGCCTCAATGCGGTAGCTGGTGGTGGTGACAGGACGGCAAGTCTCGTGACGGATGTAACTGTTGTGTTACCCGTCTTTTGATGTTGCGCGGCGTCAAGAGCTTGCAGTGGAAGTCTGGAAGATGAACAATTCCACCCAATCAGAATTGCCAGCGGAGGAAAATGTCGGGAGCTGCGGCAGGCAACGGCTCGTTATCAAAACCTTTGGCTCGAGTTGATAACGGAAGGCGATAAGGATATAAAGGCCTTGGCGATCCCTCCCGATGACGTCGCACCTCAATGGCCAGCTCTCAAGGTACCCGATGGCCGTTTCCAGGTATTCTTTCCAGGGATCAGCTCCAAAGCAGGAACGTGTTTTCGGTAATTGAAGTTATATCCTACCCTGCTGTCGCCATGCTGTGATACACTTTTCTCATCACAACCACATTTTTTCACCCTACATACCTACACCGTGCATAATGAAGCTGCAATGATATCAGCAAACATCCTCTCAAGGCAGGCGACGAGGCCTGGCCAACACCGAGTTCCTAGGTTCACCACTCGCTCTACCTCCCTCTTGCTCCAATATTCACTTGGCCGAGGACTCCCAGTCTCTCACGGAAGAATCACCCGGGCTTGGGAGAGTACCTCAACCACCTCCTCCTCGACGGCCTCCACAGGTTCTCATAAAGAAAGTGGCCATATCGACACTGCCCCTCATGAATCCCTCTTATTCTTCAACAGCAAGTCCACCACATATCTCACCTCTCATTACATCAAGACTAACGCAAAGTAGACCTCTTCCCCCTCAAACTCAGCTCCGTCCTCATCTGGCGGCCATGGACAAGCGAAGATCTCCTCCAACGCTTCGAAGGATCCTCCTACAGCTTCATCGACCCAATCAGACTAGTCAAACGAGCCATCAACACCCACGGCCAAGTTCCCATCAAGGTCACCGAGATCATCCCTCGCCTTAAGGATGGCGGCGCATTCGTCAAGTTCACTTACCCAGAGGACATGTCAGCTGCCGAAGTCGAAAGCAAACTGTCCAAACTCCTTCACAACAACCCCATCAAACCATGGTTCAACCCCTTCGGCAGGGTTCAGACGGGGCTGGTCGAGGGCGTCCCCTGGCTAGAAGACCTGTACAGACTCCCTCGCAGTCGCATACGAGTCGAGTTCGTGCCAGCCAAGCACGACGAATCCCCGGCCGAACTGTCACAGGAGACACTCTACAGCATCTTCCGCAAATACGGCAAAATCAGCGAGATCACGTCCCAGCCGACAGATTCCAAGGTCTTGCCCCGTTTCGCCTACATCGACTTTGTCTTGGTCCGCGATGCCATCATGGCGAGAAATTGCATGCATGGTTTCGTCTTGCGCGAACAGGGAAGCAAAAATGCGACGAGATTACGGCTTTCGTACGAACAGCGAGTCAAGGCCCATCACATCTGGGCTTGGTTCACGAGCCACCCTAGGATCGTGATCCCACTCGTCGCTGCCTTGATTGCCGCCTTCACTGTTGCCGTGTTTGATCCCATTCGGGAGTTCTTTGTCAAGGTACGTTGTGCAACAAAAAGAAGTCATATCCCTGATCACCAGTCTCCACCACCAAAAAGAAATACAACTCGATCCACCCAGGGGTCGAACCTGGAACCTCCTGATTCGTAGTCAGACGCTCTGCCATTGAGCCAGCGGACCTTGCTGAATTTGCGGTCGAGATATTGTACTTTTCAATCCCGCGCCTCAGTTGGCCTTGACACTTTTGACACCTGATAGCTGCTAACACTTAGTCCCACCACCCATAGGCACACGTCCAGAAATACTTTGAATTCACCAACTCCCGCCTCTACAAATGGTTCAAGTCGCAAACCTCGGATATCCTCGCCTTCCGTAGGCGCAATACCGAAGATGCCGGTCTCAACGCCCTCTTCACCCACCGCAAAGATCTGATCGACTCCATCCAAACCGGCCTTCTCGAGTCCGTCGACACCTTCACCGTCGTCCACGGCCCGCGCGGATCCGGCAAGAAGGAACTCATTCTAGACCAAGTGCTCAAGGAACGCAATGATGTGTTGCTCATCGACTGCAAGCCGGTCGTGGAAGCGCGCGGCGAAGCGGGCACCATCCGTCGTCTTGCCTTCGAAGTCGGCTACCGCCCTGTATTCTCTTGGTCCAACAACATCAGCAGTCTAGTCGACCTCGCCGTGCAAAGCACCACCGGAGTCAAAGCCAACTTTTCAGAGAACCTAGAGTCGCAAGTCGTCAAGATCTTGCAAACGACGGCGTCGGCGCTTAAGCAAGTTGGTTTGTCGGAGCGCAAGAAGGAAGACAAGGACGCCGATCTCAGCGAAGATGCCTACCTAGAAGCTCATCCCGAACGGGCGCCCAGTCATTGTCATCGACCACTTCCTCCACAAGAGCGAAGAGAAGGGGGTAATCTACGACCGCATCGCTGACTGGGCTGCTGCCTTGGTACAATCCAACATTGCTCATGTCATCTTCCTGACCGACGACGCCTCCTACTCCAAACCTCTTCAACGATCACTTCCCGATCGCGTCTTCCGCTCCGTCACCCTCGGCGACTTGTCCCCAGATGTGGCCAAGAAGTTCGTCATCTCCCAGCTGCAGACCGACACCAAGTTTGCGCATGACGGGCAGCAGCAGCAGCAGCAGCAGCAGGATCGTCAGAATGAAAACGACGACCATGGTACTACCTCATCATCAGCCAAAGACGACGACAACAAGAAGGAAAAGAAGAAGAACTCAAAGGACCGCCCCACCGCTGACCCGCTGCAGCTCGACCCCCGCCTCCTCGCAGAACTAGACACCTGCATCACCGCCCTCGGTGGCCGTCTCACCGACCTGCAAGTCCTCGCCCGACGTCTCAAAATCGGGCAATCCCCACAAAAGGCCGTCCAAGAAATCATCGACTCAACCGCCTCCGACATCCTGCGCATGTTCCTTTTGTCCAAATCTTCTTCTTCAACAGACAAGAAATACACAACCGAACAAGCCTGGTACCTAATCTCCGCCCTGGCCTCCTCCCCCACGTCTTCAATCCCCTACAATTCCGTCTTACTGTCAAACACCTTTGCCTCCTCCATCTCCTCTTCTGCAGCAGCCGGGAGTCCCGAAACAGCCCTCGAAGCACTAGCCAATGCCGAACTCATCACTATTAAATCTGCCAATGGCATGCCGATGGAGATCAAAGCCGGCAAACCCGTTTACCAAGCTGCGTTCCAGAAGCTGGCTGGTGACGACAAGGTTAAAGCGCGGATGGACTTGTTGGTGCTCACTGAGCTGGCAAAGATTGAGACAAAGAACATCGAAAAGGTCGAGCAGGAACTGGTCATGTTGCAGGGGCTTATGGCGAGACGGCCGGGAGATGTTAGTGAGCGGGTTGAGTATTTGCTGGAGAAAATGAAGGGGGGACAGAAGAAGTTGAGGGCGTTGGAGGAGGAGACGGGGGTTGTTAAGGGACGGTTGGTTAAGGGGTAGGAACTAGAACTTGGACTTGTTGAGCTAAGGAGGAGTCTGACGTGGGGAGGAATGAATGTGAGAGGTAAAGGGGAGAGGAGAAGAGAGGGGTGAATGCCCCTGGTGAGCGTTGGGAGTCAATGATACCTTACCTACCTTGATGCTTTTTCTTTTGTTCAAGTGTCTCTTTTGTTCTTTGGGTTCAACGTTCTATAATACCTAGGTGTGTGTGTGCTTGCTCTTCTCTCCCGTCACTCCGTACTCGTACCTCTATTTCAAAACGATTTCCTTACTTACCTACCGACCACACTTGATGCCTTACCTTTTTTTTCTGCATTTTGAATGGTGTTGTTGTTGTTATTGTTGTTGTTATTGTTGTTGTTGTTGTTGTTGTTGTTGTTGTTGTTGTTGTTGTTGTTGTTGTTGTTGTTGTTGTTGTTATTGTTATTGTTGTTGTTATTGTTATTGTTGTTGTTATTGTTGTTGTTATTGTTGTTGTTATTGTTGTTGTTATTGTTGTTGTTATTGTTGTTGTTATTGTTGTTGGTGTTGTTGTTCTTTTACCCTCAATGAATGCCTGCCTGTTATGATTGCTAGACGGCTCAAGCTGTTTGTTTACTCTCGAGTCTCGATATGGCCCGCCCAAAAGGAAATAATTGAAGGAGAAGTTCATGTTGATCTCCGGGCGCCAGGCTCCAATGAAACGGCCAGCACCCGCGCTCGCGTACTTAACTACTTGGCTACTCGGCTATTTGGCTACTTGGCTACCTACTTGCGAGTTCCAGCGGTCCAGCGCTAATGACATGGACGCCGCAGAGCGCAGGGTGCACGTAGAGCAGCATGAGATCGGATAGGATGGGATAGGATATAAAGACATGTATCTGGTGTTATTGGTTAAATGTAAATGTAGGAGACTACCTAACACAAGGGACAGGGGACAGGGGACGATAAGTCTCAGTCTCAGTCTCGTCTTGACCAAACTCTTGGGGACGAAAACCGTGCTTTTGTAGTTTGTACAGTTGGAGGAATGAATGAGAGGGTTGGATAAGGTATATTACGCCGTTGTGATCTCATCATTCCTTTCATTCTTTCTTTTCAAGTTGATGATGTTGATAAGGTCGACGGACGTTCCTTTTGTGTCCCCAAGTTCCCAGACCTGTGATGATCTATCAGAGTTGTTTCCGAACACAAGCGTTTTGTTAGTTGTTAGTTGTCGTCAACTGTTCTCACATGCACCCCGCGATGGCCGAAAACTTTCTCCAGAGCAAAGCCGAAAGCAGTGAAAAAAGAGAGTAAAAGGAACACAGACAACATAAATTGGACAAAAGCAAAGAGACTACAGCCCGAAAAAAAGAGCAACCAGAGGTCCAAAAACAAAATTAAAGCCGAAAAAGATACAACACCAGGGATTCGCTGGTCGTCACCGACCCAACTACTAGTCTGGCCCTCACTGGCTTATCTATGGGAGAGCGGACGGGATCCCGAGTTTTCCAGTGGGTATGGTCGTATGTGCTAGATGTGCCTTTTGCATTTGCCTATAAATCCATTTGTAGCGTTCCATTGATGGCCTCGTTAATAACATCCTTTGCTTGTGACCGGTCTCACACTCACGCCTTTACGTAAACCATCTACCAAACGAACGGACGTTCGAAACAAAAGACGGCAACGAAAAGAAACTCGATTTAGGTATGTTATGTTACGATCCAATCATGGAGACTAGATTAGCCGACCAATCAGATCGGACCCGAAGGGAGGACCCGAGACGAAGGCTCGGGTCCACGGGTCCAGTATATCGGGTCCATGAGGACAGCTATAAAAGAAGGCCTTCCCCGGCCTCTTGTTACCGGTTCTTCAGCAAGCAATAGCTATCACAATCTACCAGTACCTTTCGGCTACTACTCCGTTACTCTATTGTTCTATCCCAGCGATAATACTCCTGTGCTTGTAACGGTTCGTCACTGTTAATAGAATCTCGATAACAGCTTTTTCACCTGTGACGCCTTTCAATTACGCAGAAGTTAGCCTCCCTCCCGTCCCCTTTCTTCTAGAAGCGGCCCAGCGGCGGCACGCTGTGCGCCTCCTCACCTTAGATCCCGCCAGTCCTCGGTCTCTTAAAGGAGGGCGCGGCATCAGCCTCATTGCCTCTGCGTGTGTCTGTCCTCTCCGCCACCTCCGCTATATCCCCCATATCCTTGACAGCATCGGAGGGTGGCGTAGCCTCCAGATATATTTTGGGAGGTGCTACAAGCCCCAAGACGGAACCGGGCGACCCTTGGACTTCTCCGTCCTGCTGCTTGGTGTCACGGGCTGTCGTGTATGTGACTGTCGAAGCCAAGCTAGACCCTCCGCCGTCGCTGCAGCCTCCGTCCGAGCCATAGCCAAAGCTGGAACGGAGCTGCTCGATATGTACTACTGTGGTCGCCTTAGGTGACGGGGCGTTCGTGGAACGGACATGTAGTCGGGGATTGCTGATAATATATCTTTCTAGCCTCGAGCCTGGATCGCCCGTTTCCGGCTCCGTGGTCACGCTGTCGGCCTTCCGGGCCTCACCCAGACGGATCGTGGACGCCTCATTCTCGGAATTGTCCGGGCTGTAGCTATCACTCACTGCACCATTGCTTTCTTCATTGGTATGGCTGAGTAAAAGTAAGGCATCATCGAGGCAGTCCGTGGCCGTCTTTCGGGCTTCGGGCCGTAGACAGAGCATCGAGTCCTGAACGAATGACAATAGGTCATCTCGCTGTGCCTGTAGCCCAATCTTTGTCTTTACCCTCAGGCGGACACGATTGCACCACTCCACTCCCATAGTCTCCTGCCCACCATGTTGTGGAATTCCACACACGAGCTCAGCAAGCACGACACCCAGCGACCACAGTAAGAAAAATGCGTTAGTTTTCAAACATTAGGTACCTAGTTGTAGTTATTGTCCAACAGCTACAATCAATATCTGGAAACAGATTTTCCCACTACGGTATTTTCCCGCTATGGTGCATGACAATCGGAGGAGGAAATTGTTCCAGACCCACGCGTTTTTACTTTCATACTAGCTCATACGTATACCATCCATTTCCCTCACCTTTGCCTAGGTTCCGATCTCTCCACCACCAGTTCATGTTGTGCTTGGACCACTGTTCGACGCATTCGAGGACCTTCCCAATATCCCCATGGTCTTCCGGTCTGAGTTCCGGAAAATAACGGTTCTTCAGAGTGGTTCTGATGGTGCCGTTGAGGAAGGGATCATCCTTGAGAATACGACTTTGTGACTCTTTTGGAAAGCCGTTAGGGCCGTCAGTGTAACATATCTTGTCGCTCTATAATACCTTGGATTGCTGAGGCCCAAACGGAAAGTCAACTGCCCCTGTCCATCCTTTCTTCCATGTCTGCTCGAGTTTGTCAAAAAGTTTGGTTGCTTCGTCCCAACCGAGTTCGCTTTCTTTTCTTTGCCGGTAACACTCTAGGGCCCATTCAGCAGCGTCATCCATTTTTCTGCTCTTCGGGACCCTGACAGGTCTCTCTTGGTGACTGTTCCAATTGCTCCTTATTGAGAATAATCCAACCCGTCGAAACTGGCCATTCAGGGGAGCGGTTTTAGCAGTTCGAACAGGCTCAAGGACCAAGCCTATCATTTCAAGCCCATCTGCTCCCCGTTCGGGGACGATTTCGAACGGAGCCAGATACACATTGGAGTCCTTGACGGTCTTATCCAGGTCATGATCCCAGTGAATGACAGCCCGAAAATTTGTCGATCTATCATGCAAAGAAGTGACTCGGTGAATAGGCCGTTCTCGGCGATCATACTTGGCATCCCTGGAGTCGACCACTGCCCTAAGTACCGGTCCCTGAGTTTGATTACCCCTCTGGTGGCCGTGGGAAGCGAAGATTTTGATGTTGAAGGCATATTGACTTCTAAGATTTGAACCAGACCGTCTGCGACGTATTCAAATGTAGGGTTCACTTTTCCATTAATAGAAGCCCAGGACCAGGAAGGGTACAGGTTTCGGTAGGCCAAGTCATCCTCCTGACATACTCGTGTTGAGGGTCCTGTAGGACGATACCAGAGGAGATCTTGTCGAAGGCGATAAGACCATAAACCAGCATAGTAAGTGACTCCATCCCATTTATCCTCTAATTGTTGTGCGAGTCCGTGTATCGCTACAAGCTTGTCAGAAGCTTTTGTGATCCCCAAATCCGTATAAGTGAGGATGGTACGATGCCAAACTGTTCGCCGTTCGAAGTCCCATGGCAACTCCAGCATAATCATTTGTTTCCAGAATCGTGACATATTAGCAGATCCTCTTAGGGGCCCTGTGCCAAGCTTGTCCCAGGTCTCCCTAGAATGGAAAGTCCTGCATTCCCAATGTAGTTGGTATCGTCCGAAGATTAGATTGCGCAGGCTCATATATCTTTCCTGTAGTACCCAAGCTCTTTCAAACAGGGGCAATTTTTCGTCGGCAGCGCAAGGAAAGAGGACAAGATGGCATGTAGCAGGAGCGCCGGGACGATCCCGGAGTGGCACCTCGAGATTTGCTAAAGCGAGGGGCATGGGCCGAGGAAAGAAGAGGCCTCCATTGGGATCCCTTGCACCACCAGCCGATATATTTAAATAAGAGCGTCGATAGATTGAGTGCATCTTGGCGGATTCTTCAACCCAGTCTTCGTGTGAGTCTTGGATGATGCAGAGGGAGTCGATCCACAAGAATGGGACTTTCAGCTTTCGAGTTACCCCAACGGCATCCTGAAAGGTCTTTGGCAAACGGTCTAGCTGTATACCCTGCGTGCAGAATTCTTCTTGGTTGTCTTTCAGGAGCCTCAAGGGGACGCCTTCACCCCATCGATGGCTAAGAGTCATATACTCTTGCGTCGAAAAGTCAACTGAATCACGGGTCTTAGAGATCCTGACATAGGGATCGCCGATCTCGCCGACAGATATGAGCCGGCTGGGGCGCTGGTTTGGCTCGACGGACTCGGGTACGTGAAATACATTTAGGAATTCATGTGCGGAGGGAATGTCAAAGAACCCC